CATCGTCTGACTTAAGACGTTCAGTGATGGATGTTCGCCCTTAGAGAAAAGCAGACTCTAAATTTATCGTCACCTTGTTTTTGGCGCGCTTCCATGTGAGAAAATGAGTACCACACAAAAATGAGTACCACATAAAGGCAATCAGAGAATCAAATAGGAAACATCATCTTGGACAAGAGAGCGAAAGTTGCTAACAACATCGTACGACGGCTTCAACAGATCCCGGTAATGACCATCGATGTGGAGGCTAAGTGGCAGCTGTATAAGAGTGGCATACTAGAGGGCGGCTGTCGAATGCTACGAATTTCAGTGGGTTGGCCTGCCACCAGGAGGTCGAGAAAAGATCGTGGTGGACACGAGAGGAACAACTGGCAGTTAAAGAGGAGAAGGCAACATTCAAAAGATGGTTTGGAAACAAAGAGCCTTCTACTCGCGTGCGATATCTCGAGGCACACAGGGCGGAAGCGAAAGCAATGGCGAAAGCCAAAGATGATTCCTGGTGGAAGTTCGGTGAGGTGCTGGAGTCAAATTTGCACACGGCAAACAAGGTATTCTGGCAGACCATCCGCCGGCTCCAATGTGAAAAGAAAGGCAATCTAATAATCTTGAAGGACTGGTTTGGACACCCTCCTACCAAGGATGATGACATCCTTCAGAGATGGAGAGAGTACTTTGAGGAACTTCTTAACTCCGAGCAATCGCAGGAAACTCGCCTGTAAAGCAGCAGGGAACGGATATTACTATATCTGTAGATAAAAATACAGAAGCTGTTGAAAGGTTGAAAAATGGAAAGGCTGCTGGAATTGATGACGTCCGTGCTGAAATGATCAAAACATTAGGCGAACAAGGAATGTGCTAGCTTAGAGGTGTCTGGGGAACTGCGATGACTACAGGGAAGACACAATCGGACTGGAGAACGCGAGTTGTAGCCCTATTCGGAAGAGAGACCACAGGGAGCGCTCTGATTATAGGAGCATTACGCTATTGAGCCTCCAGATAAAGTCTACGCAGCGGTGCTAGACAGGAGGTGTCGTGAAATAGTTGACCTCAAGATCCAAGAGAGCAATGCGGCTTATAGCCCGGTCGAAGCACCTTTGACCATGTATTTGCCCTGCGACAGATTGTTGAGAAATCATGCGAATACGCCCGTCCGGTGTATATGTGTTTTTTGACCTGGAAAAGGCCTCTGACCGGATTCCACACAACATCAGCGATCATGCCTGCGAGCATACGGGATGGACGGCTATCTGATATGGGCCATCCAATCACCGTATTCTGATAGCAGGTGTTTCGTCAGAGTAAATGGCGTTGAGTCGAAAACTTTCAGCGTTGGCAAATGGTCACCGCCCAGGCTGCGTTCTGTCCCCTCTACTGTTTGGTTTGTTTATGGATGGGGTTGTTAGGCGTAGCCAGGGCGATTAATATATCAGAGTAATTGATGTCGAAACGAAAAGTTTGCTGCTTGCAGACTACTTTGTTTTCTTTGCATCTTCAGAAACGGATCTTGATCGCATTCTTTAATGGCAGCCATCATGCGCGTTAACGTGTCTCACTTCTAGTATCTGGTGCATTCTCGTTCCTGCGTCCATCGCCCCCTGCAAAAAACCAGGTATGCAGTGGAGCAGGTAAAAATGCTCATGTACCTCGGGGTCGTGCATACCAATGATAAAAAATGGGAGGAAGAGAATGATTGAAGAATTTAAATGGCCAGCTGCGTTCTGCGTGAACTTTCCCGATCCGTTGTAACTAAAGCATTGCTGACTTCGACGAAGAAACTGCCTTTGTTACAGTCGATTTTCATTTCTCCCTCTCCAATGGTTTTCAGTGGTGGATTATGTCTGAAAATATCGATCCCTGCTTTAAGCGACTAAATGAAGCTTAATGGAACGAATTACTTCTTATCAGAGCACGGAATCTAGATATCTGAGAAAGCCTTACTCTATCGCCATTGTTTATTTAGATTGAAAAGTTCCAGCTGCAACAGTTGTGGCTCGTTTTGGCAGTTTCCAGAGAGCAAGACGAAACAACTACACTTTGCCCACGGCGGACCGACAGAAGACCTTGAGGACGTCTAAGAATAACCTTGGCGAAGTGCCAACTGATTTTCCTTCAGTCTCAGGTTGTCTTCTGTCTAAGCTCAGCCTCAGTTGCTGGCCAGCATCGTGACCGTTTGACACACTGTTTGACGCTACTGCCTCCGCGATCAAACAACATGCAGTATTCGAAGCTGACTGATTAGTATTTTGAATATCACGTGACAAATATAGGAACGTACAAACAACTTTACCATATTACCAAACATTCTCGAAGTTCGTAATTTAAAACACGCCGTACGTACCTCTATAACAACTCTCAATGCTGGACGCCAGAGTGGTATTGTCGCAGATAAAAGGCTAAAAGGCGATCGACCTGTAGCGTGGCAATTGCCACAGGAATTAGTACTTTTTCAAATGGAGGTCTGCATTTAGCAGCTGAACGGTGATGCAACGAGACTGACAAAGAAATTGTGGTCTTGAAGTACCATGGATCAACGCCGAGAAAGATTGACTCTCCCTTGACAGAGGGCAAGCCAAAAACATCAACGCTATTTTAGGAACGTTGACTGGTCTTCAAACGACAACCGTCATCCACGTATGATATACGCGGCATCCCCGCAGAAAAAATGCACACCTCCAACGCGACTTACCAAACATCTCCCTCGAACGCAATATTTTCCATCGCCACATAGAGCGCCATCTGGCAGAAGGTCTCCAAGGAAACGAAAGTTCTTCGAGTCGTAGCTTCGGCCTTTCACATCGCAAAATATCTGAAACAGCCGATCATTTCACGGATCACAATTACGTTGTTCGTTTCTGATTGAAAAGAACAGCGCGTCTGTTCAATGTGGAGGTGTCTAAAGCTTTTGAAGACTTTTATTTTTGCGATGCACTTGCAGCTCCATTCTCCGGAAATTTCACTGATCTGACTGTCACAGCCTATTTCTTAATTCTCTCTCTTGCAAAGCAACCTCGCTAAACTGAAAGTACATTTACGAAAGTGCTAAACCACTGAAAAGTATGACGTATAGGACATAAATTAGTATTTATGGAAACATGCCTCTCGTATGAATGCGGTAAGAAACTTACACATTAAGTGAGGTTACTTTGAATTCACAAACTAATGATAATTCAATTACATTTGCCTGCAATTGGCATCGTAGTAAAATATTGACTTGAGACTTTATACCATGCAAAATGGCATCAAATTTACAGTTGCTGTATTCTAGTTCGTAGGCAAATGTTCGGCAGTTGCTGTGAAGTTTCGAGTTTCTTGAAAAGGCGAGTTATCGATCTGCTTGCTTTCAAGGTTCGCTCAGCGGCTACATGATGTGTAACATCCTCAGCAGAAGAACCTAAGTCACAAAGGAAGAGGATTAGTCAAGAGAACAACAGGCATATATTTCGCCAGCATCAGCTATTGACTACGAAACGAAACGTTGCCAAAAATCATGAAGCAGACTAGATTGCATTCAGCTTAACCGATTACATAGTTTGAAATTTACTGCACATAATCACTGAGCACTGGTGGATTTGTTTAATATTCTAAATTAATCAGCACAGCACTTCGTTCAAAATAGTGCAGAAAAACTAATTCTAGGCGATGTACCTTGCATGCTCTTGACTCAAACCGCGTCAGTTGAACTCCTTTGCCTGTCAGTTCGTTCGAAATGTCTTTGTTCCTGTGGCCAGCGCATACTTGCTCTATATAACGTTCTAGAGTCGTCTCAGGAGGACCGCAATTCGCTTTACACACAATTCCGCGAATACTGTCGCCTCGACAGTCGGTACCATCGTTTTCCGGAGTTGAATAACTGCAGCTGCGGGTGGACGACACCACTCCAATGCTAGATTCAAATGGCGGACAACTGCAGTCACCGCATGCAACAGACGACCATTCAGACCAGTCTCCAGTAGCAACCTAAGCGTGAACTGTACATTCCAAAATAATTATAAATGAGTAATTCAAGACACTTGATTCGAAAATGCTTCGTTCGTAGATCACGTGATATAATCTACTTCGTGATGCCTTTTTTACATGCACTACCGACTGACGGTACAATTAACAATACTTAGACTAAACATTTTTTGGTTATCAAAGAGATATAAGCGATGGCATTGTCAGGGGCATTGTAAAAAACCTATAGAACAGCAGTTTTCATTTTGGCCAAAAATATCATGTACTGAATTGTTAGTCAAGGTCTCCTTAAACCATATCTCTGCATCCCTTTCACTAAGGGTAAGTCATGATAAAAAAATAAGAAATTGTGTGAAAGTGCCGCGACCCAAAAGGAGAAGCGGCGATCCACGACCCGAAAGGAGAAGCGGCGATGGAAGATGAAGATGAAAGTGCGAAAAAGGACTGCGATCGCAGGAACAACCGGCTGAAACTGGCCTTGAAGACTAATCACCGGGTTTTCGAGTTTTACAGCATCTGGAATTCAGATGTCGGAAAAAGCCTCAGTATGCTGTCGCGGCTTTTCAGGCTGAGAAATCACAGCTGCAATGATACATGTCGCAAAAGCATGCAGTAAGGAGGGCGACATAGATATTACTTGCTTAACCGACCGACCGACCTACCGAAGACCACGGGGATGGTCAAGAATGACCTGAGGCAAATGACTCGACGTATTATGATCTTGACACAGGTTATCTTCTACCTAAACGCAGGTACTGGCGTAAGATCAAGAACGCTGGACACCTTTACTGCAACTACTGGGGCCTCAACCTTAAAGCAAAAACGGCAATCGCAACTGACTGACTAATAGCAGACTGAAATACGATGAACTGTATGTTACTGGCCTGATTTTGGTGTCTTTTTCATTTAAAGAAGACAAAGTTGATGGAAATGGGCAAAAGCCAAACAGATAACTGCTATGTCATTGACAGAAATGAAGTAACGGTAAAGGAACCGGAAAATCAATATTTTAGGAGTGCCTTGACTGCATACGGGCGATGAGCAATCGATGTAATGAAGTTTTGGGTGCTGGGTATAATTGTCAGGAGCAAGTTAAGCAAGTAAAGGAGAGACGAAGACACTGGGTATAACAAAATGGTGACGATTCACAGGGCCTAAATTACGAACACTTTGCTCTATGATCTGGAGACAGCAACACTGAACAAAGTTGATAACACAAACCTTGAAACGACGAAAATGAGAAATTTAGACCTATTATATGTGTAAAAAATGGTTGTGTACGATTTGGCGTCAAATGTTGTCGTAAGACAGTGACTAGAATATCCAGCCAAGGTGACTGACTGGTTGAAGGCAAAACATTTTAAGATGGTGGACCCCTTGCCAACAAATGGACGATAGTCGCTTGGCAAACCGAATATTGAACGCAGACCCTTCAGCCACCAGGAAGGATTCTATCCAGGTGGCAAGGTCTCGTAGCAACAAACGTGGCGTCAAATTGTACGAAGAGTGAGCAGGTATTCGACCCAGTCTGGAATCTTTGTCAGTAATGGAATGTCTGTGCAGTACCCTACGTCACGTCCAATGCAATAGAATGAGAAGAATAAGACAGAGAAGAAGAGGAAGAGGAAGAGGAAGAGGAAAAAGAAGAGGAAGAGGAATAGGAAGAAGCAGAAGAGGAAAAGGAAGAAGAAGAAGAAGAAAAAGAAAAAAAAGAAAAAGAAGAAGAAAGCAAAGCTCTGTCAAAATGTGCCGATTTTTAAGTCAGTTATATATTCGAGGCAAAGACTTAAAACGTGACATTCAAACTACAATCAGTGGCTTGATGTTAATACATCGAGGAAACTTTTTCGTAGTAGAACCTATCACTGTTAGAAGCAGTCTTGGCTCATACCCGTGATACAGCGATACAACCAGAATTCGTATGAAAGGGAATGTCATTTTAAAATGCCCTTGCATCATACAAACGATACTTCAGGATGACATTTTTATAACTTTCTTACCATGTATGCAATTGACAGCTACGTTAAGCTGCCAGTAAAAGTAAGTGTTAACTCACATATGCTGGAATAAGTTAGGCTAAGATATAACCTGAATTTTCGGGAGCGCTTACTCTTGAAAGGACGATGGTGTTGTCGTCTGTGCACTGGCCCTTGATGCAGTACCTATTGTGGCCGCAAGAGGTTCCTTCTAAAGCGGGATGCGATGTTATTATTCGTCCCCAGTTTCTCAATCCGCACCACATCATCCTACAAATGCTATCCTCATCTTCATTCGTAGCCAGCACCTGAAACAAGCAATGAGTTATTGGGTTGGTAAAGGATGAAGTGTCTCTACTACCTTTTTATATCCGTTTCCATGCATAAGGGAACATTGCTTATTCGCTGAGTACTTCTGACCCGGCAGCTGGGTCGGATTCTCTGACAATTTGTGACTGGTGATTCGCATGCAGTTTTTTCCATAGTAACTAAACGTAGTATCGAACAGTCGTACATTTTATGGGACCAGAAAAGCATGCTTCTAAACGTACTCAAGTTTGGCGATGAAGTTTTTCAAGTTCTTCACGCTGCATGTCGACCAGTCGGTCTTGCCGGCACCCAGCGAACCGGACATGATGAAGTCGCTGCTGCATTCCGGCTCATCGTGCAGCATGCCGAGGCCGTGGCCGATTTCGTGCGCTCCAATGTAGACAGCCGAAAAGTCTGTACCCTCAGCTAGCAAGCAGCTGTTCAGCGAGTCACACACGCCGTACAGGCGGGCAATGCCGCTGATCGATTTGTCGTTTGGTGGCCGGTGAATATCCAATCTAAAGAAATACGAAATGCCATACGCTATCCTAGATCAACGTTCAGTATTACCCTGAAAACAACATGGCGTAGTCCCACTGACGATGAACCGCAAAGTTGTATTGATACTTGCAGAAAGCGGCTAGATACGCCAAAGCGTCACCATTGTCGTGGTGATTTTCATACAGTTGCTTCTGAAACAGTATTGTACATGTTTTCAGCCGGATATAACCTGTGCTTCTGAAACCCCTTCCCACTGACTTAACCTGTCTGGTTGCGATTATTACATGGTAGTATTGTTAATAAATCCTGTACAAAAATATCATCTAGAAACGGAGTGAAGGATTTGCATTTGCCATCAGTCGTAGGTATAGTTCAATGTATGAGAAATACTTGCCTTAGTACTTGGGGCATACCACAAAAATGCACACAATAATCACGTTAGGTGCAAGGCGCACTGACCTAATAGCAATCAAACAAAAGTATGTGCACCACGGTCATTGGAGTAGGAGTAAAAATCAATTTCAACAAACACAATCTTCATGAGGGAATCAATCACGAGCGATTATTCTGTTTTTGTAGTGAAAGATTTACTTATAACGAACATTAAGACATTTATTTGGAAAGCAGCCGTTTTCTTTGTCCTGATTTATAGCCAATTAACTTTACCTGTCTAGAAATACTTGGGCGTCTCTTTGAAATCCTTAGAGACAGATGTTTAGCTTAGTATTCACAGGTACTAAAGGTTAGTGAACATCTACCCTGAGTCTTCTCTAAGTGCTTCATTTACTAGTTCCGTATACCTTGGAGCCTCAAACACATAATAAAAATAGATATTAAGACCGGGTTTCATTTGAACAAGCAAAACAGACATTTCTGTCTTTACTAGTGTGACGCATCCGATATTACTATATCGATGTAGTAATATTTCATCATCATGTTAAAAATTATTAATCCGAACACTGTTTGGTCAGAAATAGCGATAACAAAAGATAAATTTTTGAAATTTATGCAAGAAAATAGCTAGACATTATAAACATCACACTTACATTCGCAGATATTTATAATGCAGTCACTGTCTAACAGCATGTTTATACACACAATTTCATCCCCCCCCCATCCTTGTTCCTTTTAACCGTAAATAATTATAAGAGCAACAAATTAATGATTGCGTAAAATCTAGACATATGTTTACACAAGTACCTATGATACAATCACTTCCAGATCCCAGTTTGTTTGCATGCGCAACTCTGTTGTCCAAGCTTGGATTAGCTTTAGAAGACAACGAAAATCCCATAAAACATATAATCATGCATTGAGCGAAGAGTACATAAAACCATTTAAACACAAAAATGTTGCAAACTTATCTAGCACAGTTGAGATATGACCACCTGATCAATTCTGCAGATCAAGTTCGTTTAATCTAATGTGCAGATGACAGCAGCAACCGGAAAGCACACGCACGCAGGAACAAAAGCAAGGGTTCATTAAAAAACATGCATATGCACTCAACAGACACATTTGCAACTTTTTCCACTGCATTTCAGTTATTAATCCGAATAACCCAAAGGTTCAGGCTCAATTTCGCCTTAAAATATCGCTCTGAAGAATAATCTGTTTTGTAAAGCTCACGTGTTGTTTTGGAGAATTCAGTGAAATCATGCAATGAAAACTGTCTGCCTTTATCTGAAGTTGTCAGGGTCTAAAATCCAGAAAAGTAGCTAACTGGTCTAACGTCATGTTGTGCGAACATATGAATGTTCCGTGCTTGCACTTTTTAAGATGCATCGCTGAGGAGTGTTCTGAAAGCACTCACCGCGTTGACTTGGAATGCTCAGGCGATAGAGCATCAGAACCGAGAGGTTCCAGGTTCTAGTCTTGGCTGGGCCACTTGCCTTTCTTTCGATGATAAGTTTGTACTACTCCGTAGAAAGGAAACAAGCATCTATAATCTATGCTTTCCACACAACTGTCAAATCTGCCATTAAAATAAGGCACTCCTGGTTGAAGTGTGAAAATAGAGATCAGCACTCCATTATTAACTTCATCCAAACAATGGCGCCAGAAATATGCCCATCATGAAACTATTAGGAATACACTTCATAAAGGTATAGACTTAAGATTATAGGCTTTGATTTTACTTCTCTTTAACTCATCTTTGCTGATGCGCGTGATTCTAGACTAATCTCTGTCACTTTAACCGCAATAGAAGTCAGTAGCATAATAACTTTTCAGCGGCTTAACACTGTCGAATATTGCAATATCTATACACAATAAGTTGAAGAAAGTAAATTACTGAGCACCAATCTTAAATCAAGCAAAAGCTGTTTCAAATATCGCTTCAGATTTATGGTCGTATTTCAGCGACTAAACTCAGGAGACGCCAGTGATCATCAAGGGATCTCTTTCGCCGGCAGCTCGCAAATCAAAACAACCCAACACGTACTTACAGGCTGAGTCTTGAACACTTCATAGCGAACGAAGCTGAACCTGATCTTTGGAGTTAGCGTTGGACGCTGGTATAGAATTTGAATCTAAAACATTATTTTGAATTGTATGACGTTAGAAACTTAAAGTTAATTGACAAAAGAATCAGCTTTAGAAGTCCAAATATTTACTATGAAGAATATGTAACATAATCTGGTTTATACATTTGCAAAACGAACCTTTTATGGCATATTGAAAATTAAATATCTTCATATACCCATTTTAGCACAGATATGGGTTCATGCGCTGTAATCTGCTAACAGTCGCATACCTCGGACCAAATAATGGGCGGCGTCTTAAGCGCTCCATGGTTCCAATATATTTGGGCATCAAGTATTGCCTTAGCAATTACAATAATGCAAAGTGTGTTTTGCGTTGCAGTTGCTCAGGTAAGATGTAACCGCTGGTTGTATAACCTCCAAGGCAGTTAGATGCAACGAAGCAATACAATAATTCACGCATCATAATACGAGATCCCATGAAGAGCAAAGTACGGCAGTAAGTGCACTCGTAAATGCCATATTGACCTTCAAGGTTGGACATTAACCTTGAAATTATGGACTAGCGAGTCACTGGTGACTAGAATTTACAGAGATTCTAGTGCCTTCTAAGTCAGGTCTGACCTGCCCATATTCAATCCGGAACCATCAGGGCAGCCTTCTGTACTAATCCATATAGGAAGCATCATTTCGCGATGATGTCTACTCATTAAATTGAGGATTATGACTCCTGGGTAAGGCAAATGGTAGTACTGGTTGATGCTTTAAGGATGATGTCGGAGTTGTGTCAGTTTTTGAGTTCGTTCTTTATCCAACCGAATGCCGGATGACAGGTGTCACTGGTGACTGGTCAGAGAAATCAAAATCAATTTTGAGTAAAACAATAGAATTAAAGCTGAAAATTCAGCACCATGGACAATTCAGATTATTTTCTATTTTCTACTTCTATCAGTGACATTGTTTGTAACATTATTATTTTAAGCAGCTTTGATGCGTCGTTAATCTCCATCTAAATGCCGTTAGTAAGGAATAAGGAGCATCATACATCATGAAGCAATATCTACAGTTATAGAGCAAGCACTACACATATCCTGGGCCTTTATTGTTGGGCATCATTACTGGTAAAAATTCAATTACCGTATTTTCCCATCGATAACGCACGCGTTGTCTATACAAAAAGTCTAATCAATGCAAAAAACAACGTTGCGCGTCATGCAATTAAAAATGAAAACTTCCAATTATTTCAAGTTTCTTACGTAAGCGGATTATTTCAAACTTCGTTTAGTTTGAAAACAAATTAGTCTCAAACCATGTACATGTTGCAATATCAGTGAATATAAGGGCTAATATAAAAAAGTAAGATAAAAACAAAATATGAAACGTAAAATAACCCGGCTGCCTCACGTAAGTTTGCTGGCTGCCTCGCGATTCCCTTTCACTTTCGCAAAATTAACGGCTTTCAGCTTAAACATCGCTGTATAAGATTTTCTCCGCATAGTATTTTTTCTCCACAGGTCATTTTCTCAGAAGCAACTTTCGATTAAAAAACTAAACATTTACAAAATACACGTGTTCAAAGACCAGTAGCAATGTGCTGACTCCTGTTAATTCTTCTGTACGTCTGTTTTAGAAACAGCCACAGCCAGTATACATTATTCATTTTCCCCAAAACTGAATTTTTTCAGACAAGAAATTAATTACACGCTATCATATATCAACACTAGATATTACAAGATGCGCGTTATCTACACATTTTAACGAGCATAGAGATGCACAAGGTGCGCGGTGTACATAAGATGCGCGTTATCGATAAGAAAATGCGGCACTTAAAGATATTGACAGGAGCAGTACTGCTTGCCCAATCACTTCCCGGCAAAACGGTTGCGTAGATGGCTAAAAGTCAGGCTGAGACAAATCAATGGCAAAACAAATTCATTATCAAGCGGGAGGCAAACCATTGGTCCAGTAGAAAAAAACGATAGGAATATGCCGGGACAATAAAGAAAGATGACTTATAGATTCACTCATTCATCTTCCATGGCCTTTTTGGCCTTCCATTTTCACCTTTCGGATAAAGGAGGCAGACGCGTCAGACAGCTCTTCCAACGTTCCCGATTCTGCGAGAGAGTCTGTGTTTCGGCCGAAGACAATTGGAATCTGGAACAGACTCTTTCCATATATTTGCACTACGTTAACCATGGCAGTCTCCTACAACTTCTGTCAGCCGGTTTGGCAAAAAAAACAGCTGATTAGCCTTCCTTTCTGGAGGTACTCGCAACGCATGGCCAAGCCATAGCAGCTGTGACTTCTCAATCTGCAGAAGCAGAAGCTCTGCATCAAGGGTCTCAAGGATTTAAGTATTCCGGACCATGTCGAGATGCGGAAGGCCAGCATCTCGTCTAAGAAAGCCCATTTCAGCAGCTTATTCCAGGGTTCGAAGTTTTTCAGTGATGGTCCACGATTCATGACCGTAGGTAAGCATGGGGATAAAGATTGACTTGAACACCGAGAGCGTAGTTTTTAGACTGAGCTCTGCTTTAGTTACAATGGATCGGGCTAATTCACGCGGAACGGCACTGGCTACTCCAATTCACCGGTCC